TTAAAATCTTTGACTCACATTTTCTTTCCTTGAGTGTATTAAATGTTACTTTATTATTTTCTGACATAGAATTGTTAGTCAAAAACTAACAACTATCCAGTTTTTTTCCCCATAGTTGACTTCATTCAATTCTTTCAAAAGAATATGGTTAATGTTTTTTATTCTGTTTCTTTCTTTTGAGATAAAAATCTTTTAATATGTATTTTTAGGCATTTCTTATTTAAAATTCTTTGAAATCATTTGTTGTTCTGTGCTTTAATTTTTACCTTCAGTGCCTTCTATATACATATGATTTATCTTTGCATAAAATTTTCTTCAAATCTCTTTTTCATTTCTTTAAAAATTAGTCATCATTAATTAATTTAGACATTTCCCTTATTCTGTCTTTTCATTTATACTAATGCATTAACTTTTGTGTTTATGGTTTTTATTTTGCTCTACTTTTATCTTCCTTTCTGGAGTGATTTTKAAAAATTACTATTTCCAATCATTTTCTGAGTTGTTTCATCTCTTGTTGTGGTTTAGGTCTGGAATGTCCGACAAAGACACTTGTTTTGAAGGATTGGTTCCCCTGTGCAATGCTCCGAAATGGGACTTTAGGAAAGTGATGGGTAATGAGAGCTCAGATCTCATCAAAGGGTTAATCCGTTGATAGTTTYGTAACTCAATTGACTATTAGGAGGTTGTGGAATCTAGAGGAGGTGGGCCTAGCTGGAAKAAGTGGATCACTGGAGGTGTACCATGGAAGATATATCTAGTCCCTGGACTCTTCCTTGCTTGTTTTCTCTGGTTCTGGCTTCTATGAGATGAGCGACTTTTCTCCACCACACCTTCCCTGCCATGAAGTTCTGCCTCACCACAAGCTGACAAAGATGGGATCAAGGGACTATGAACTGAAACAGGGATCCAAAATAACTCTTCCCTCCTCTATGTTATTTTGTCACAGCAATGGAAAGCTGACTAACACGGCTATCTGTTGCAAATATTCTTTTTGCAGTGAATTCACTGATTGACCTTTCCAAAGATTTTGCATAGCACATATCAGTTTTTAAATTTTAGTTCATTTTGAATGGCAAGGCTATAACTTTATTTTGTGATCTTGTCTGCTAATATGTTCTCATTGTTTTCCTAATGTTATTTTGTTCTCTACCTTTTTTTTTTCTTATAGGAGATCTATTGATGGATTGATTGTGGTACTCTATCACTGAGCTACTTTACCTGCCCTTTTTTTTTGGGGGGGGGATAAGGTCTACCTAAATTACCAGGCCAGCTACAAATTTGCAATCCTCCTGGCTCAGCCTCCCAAGTAACTGGGATTACAGTTAGGATTATCACTGCTTCTGGCATCTTACAGTAGTTTTATAGATGATTCTACTTCATTCCTTTCTGTTGTTCATGTTTAAGTTAAGTGCATTTTCACTATTATCATGGAAATGTAGGCCAAGCTAGCTTTTCTAGGATCTTCTGTGTGTCTAGAGCCTCCTTTTCTGATATTTTCAAGACAAATACTATGCCARTGGACTTTCTGACTGTACTTCCTTTGCTTATACCCCTCAAACTTTAATCTAAATGGCCCCTTTGATCTCTTCTATTGGATCTGATCCATTTAATTTTTGTTAAACCTTATTTTTTAGTTGTAGGTGAACACAATAACTTTATTTTACTTTTATGTGGTGCTGAGGATTGAACTCAGTGCCTCACACATGCTAGACAAGAGCTCTTCCTCTAAGCCACAACCCCAGCCCTGATGGATTTAAGTTTGATTCAATTCCTAAGGATGTCTTGTCAGCACAAGTTGCATTCTGAGAAGCCTCATTTGCTCCAGCACTGGAAACCCTTTTCCTGTTTCCCTTGAAGACACTGATGATGGGGAGCCTCCAAATTCCCTTCTCCTTTTCTACTATGATTTTCATATTAGTCTGACTCTCTTTCCAGAGATTATCTGTTACTTGGAGATTGGGGACATGGTTATCTAGTTCCAAAGTCCTTCAAAGGCATAGTTGATTTTCCYGTTTCTTTCTGCAAAATTGCTAGTACCATACTGGTCTAGTGCTTTGTCCCCACCCATTAAAGGGAGATATTTGTTATTTAGTTTCTTGTAGATATTTTCTGTGTGACTTAAGTTTACTTTTTCTGTTTTTAGGGGGGTTTTCAATTATATTTAAAAGGTTATGCTGTGCGTATTGTCCAATTTTCAGAATCCAAAGTTCAAAAATTTAATACTTAGTTATTTGAAAAATTTAAATTAAAAATAATTAACATATTGAGTATGTCTCCTGTACTTCACAGATATTAGTGTCTAGATTGGTACCTGTTTAAAATAAGTTTAGGCAAAACAATTACAATAATTTCAAGGATAAAATTTAACAGTAATAATGGTGGTATGAAATATGTAAAAAAAATAGTGATGTCATATACAAATAATTTCATCTGGAAATACTAGTATAGATAAATTCTTTGAACAATAAGGGAGAGGGGTCTTTTTTTAAAATTATGGAATTAGAGTCCATGGGTTTTGCATCTTTATATTCAACCAACCACTGGTCAAAAAGTATTCAGAAAAAAAAAATGCATCCATATTATGTATAGATCTCTTTCCTCTTGGTAYAGGATATTTTTAGAGAATAATGACAACTATTTACACATTATTTATGTTGTATTAGGTACTGTAAGTAATCTAGAGATGACTTAAAGTGTATGGTAGGATGCACATAGGTTATTTATATAAGGGACTTAAGTATCCATAAGTTTTGGTGTCCCCTGGGAACTCCAAAACTGAATCCAATCCTTATTAGATGCCAAGGAATTATTACATTTAGAATTAGCTATGGAGAATAGAGCACTGATCCTATCTCTTGAACTTCAGGAATTTAAAAAAAACTATTTTAGAATACTGTAGGGAAGATGCATAATTATCACAAAGACCTAGTTTCAATTAACAAGCAGAGGAAAGAAATATTGGTAAAGAGAATAGCTGGCTTGGCGAAAGATTGAAATAYAGCAAAGATCTAAAGGCTAGATATAATATTCTTTTTTTAGGACATAGATTTTTTTTATTTGTTCTAATTAGTTATACTAGATAGTAGAATTCCTTTTTGACACATCATACATAAATGGAGTAACTTCACATTCTTCTGGTTGTACATGATGTAGAATCACGCTGGTCATATAATCATGTATGCTCATAGGGTATCAATGTCTAATTCATTCTACTATCCTTCCTACCCCTACACCCCCTCCCTTCTCTTCACTCCCCTCTGCCTAATACAAAATACCTCTATTTTCCCTAGCCCCCCACCTTGTTCTGAATTTGTATCTGCATAACAGACAGAACATTCAGCTTTGGGTTTTGGGGATTGGCTTATTTTGCTTAGCATGATATTCTTTAGCACCATCCATTTACAAGCAGATGTCATGATTTCATTCTTCTTTAAGGATGAGTAATATTTCATTGTGTACATATACCACATTTTCTTTATCCGTTTCATCTGTTGAGGGACACTTAGGTTGGTTCCATAGCTTGGCTATTATGAATTGAGCTGCTATAAACATTGATGTGGCTGCTTCATTATAGTATGCTGATTTTAAGTCCTTAGGGTATAAACCAAGGAGTGGGATATCTGAGTCAAATGCAGATTCCATTTCAAGTTTTCTGAGGACTCTCCATACTGCTTTTCATAATGGCTGTACCAATTTGCAGTTCTACCAGCAATGTATGAATGTACATTTTTCCCCACATCCTTGCCAACATTTGTTGTTACTTGTATTCTTGATAATTGCCATTCTGACTAGAATGGAATAATTCTTGGAAGTTCTATATGGAATAATATAATGCTATAATGTTCTTAAAGTGAGAAATATTCACTTTTTAAATATATACTTGGTGACCCTGAGTATGCTCATACTCATTTACCTATCAATTATACTTCTGAAAATTTATATTAGACAGCTAAATCATCAAATAAGGCTTATATAGATATAAAAGTGTAAGACTTTTAGGTTATTAGGATGATAAGTTATTCTCATTTATAAATTATTCTTTGATGTTATTCTATCTTAATCATAAGGATACATGCTTGTGTATAAAACTTTCCTGAAAGGAGAGACTATAGAATAAATATGTGTCTCGTAATACCTTTTAAAATGAAAATAATTCATGACAAACCCTCTCAGAATTTTCTTAGATACTTTTCTGTTTCATCCGATTGTYGAAGGAATATTTATAGACTCTAAAAAGATAGTTGGATATAAAGATAGTAAAAATATCAGTGGTTTCCAGGGACTAGGGAACAGAGAAGGATGAATAGGCAGAGCACAAAGGATTCTTAAGATAGTGAAACCATCCTGTATGATACTAAAATGGTAGATACATGTCATTACATATTTGTTAAAATCCATAGAATGTACAACACCAAGAGTGAACCCTAATGTAAACTCTGGACTTTGAGTGATAACAATGTATCCTTGTATGTTCATTAATAACACATGTACCACTGTGGTACCCTGCTGATGGGGGGGAGGCTGCAGATGTGTAGCGGCAAGGTAAAGGTACTTGGGAACTCTCTGTACTTTCTGCTCAAGTTTGCTCTGAACCTGAAACTGCTCTAAAAATAATGTCTATTAACATTTTCAAAAAGAAATTACAATATGAATTTGAAGCTAGGTTATAAAGTTTTTATATTCTATCTAATTAAGGAAATGTAACCTGAAGACTAATGCACCAATTTGGGGCTAAGGCAGAAGAGCACATCAAATTAGGAGTTTCTCAGTGAAACTACCCTAACAAAATCCATGGTAATTTGGGGCAGATAAGCAACTCTGTGCTTCTCATTCCTCAGTCTTGCCACTTTATGCAGTGAAGACCATGGTGGCTGCCTCTTCACTGCACAGGCGTACCCAGAGGTAGATGAATCTCAATGCTAAGACTGTTTTGTCTCTTTAGTAAAAAGCACTTTATATGCCAAAGATCCAAGTGTTTTCTACCTTGTGTTTTGTTGCAGTTACACAGGATGAATGGAGCAGCAATCMCACAATAGAAATAGAGATAAATCAAACTCTGGAAATACCATGCTTTCAAAATAACTCCTCAGAAATTTCGCCTGAGTTCACCTTTACCTGGTTGGTGGTAAGTGTGTTGCCCTTTTCAGTGAATAACTACAGTGATGTTTAAATATTAATGAAGTAAAATGAATAGCAAGTAATAATAGAGAAATACTGGATGAAAAACATTCATTATGCCAGCGGTTGGGGAGGGCTGGCAAAGGGARGGAAGGATGCTAAGACTTCCTCTAACTAGGCGAGCGTCCGGTCTATGAATGCAGCGGATTTAGAAATTTACTTCTAAAGGTTAATTTCTATTTCAAACYATATACCAGACCATGGTTACAGAGAGAACAGAGTGTTATGGTGCCCTGGAGAGGAGCCACAACCAGCAGGAGCTGCTACTCACAAATAACATATGTAGAGATATAGACTCCCTTTCCCCAGAACCTGTAGTACCATRTCCTGGAAAATATACAGCAATTTGCTTCAGATCAGGGAACACACAATCTAATACTTATAAAATGTAAGTAGAATGTGKACCTGAGAAAAACAGGCCACATGTCCAAAATTGTTAGTGGTCAGCTCTATAAATGTCACAGAGTCCTACAAGTCTTCTAATTACCAAGTCTTCTAATTTAAAACAAAAAATCKTTATTCTTATGAGTACTTTTCCAATTAAAAAAATAGTGTGTAGACTGGAAAAACTGGAATATGAGTGAACAGTTAACTCATTTTTACTCTTTCACCCCTTTTTTCTATGTATTTTTTTGGAGGAAGAGATACTCAATGATCTAGTGACCTTGTACTCTGTCATTCGACTCCCTGAATAATTTAATAATATTTTATGTATCAAATAAAAGTTATTTAATAAGTTGCTTCACACTAAAAAAAGTGTGTAGAGTGAAAATAAGTACCAGTCTGTGATTTTTATGAAGCAGTTTACTAGAATATCCTAAAACATAAACTGATATTTTAAAAAATTATTTTGAAATCATCAATTAAAATATTTTACCGAGTTATCATATTGGTAGTCATGGTTAGTTATTTGTTAAAGTGCTTATTATATCCTGTGTGATGTCTAAATTCTCCCACTATTTTTATCTACTTGAAATATTATAAAATTCCTGTGTACAGATATTTATCCTTAAAGATCCATAGTTCAATTGGTCCTGACCCTTCCCATGAATGTGCTGTATATACATTTTGTCTTTTTTATCACTAGTTTGTTATTTTATCACTAGTTTGCAACATTATTCTGCAACACCATGACATTTTGTTTTAAAAATTACAATGCAATTTTGAAACTAAAATTCTAGTTTCAAATGGAAATTATCATAGTTTTATCTCAAAATAAGTAAACAAAATCAGCATAACGATAGTAATAAATATGAAAGAATCAGCCATTCTAACTTTAAGCTAACCAAATTAATACAACCAATACTTGTTTAGTAGCCAGTTATTAACCAATATGCAACTGTTAATCAAAGAACAAGGGTATATAAAGATGATATAACCATGATATCAAGACTCATATAATGCTGGATGAAGTGGCACACACCTATCTATGATCCCTGGAGCTCAGAAGGCTGAGGCAACAGGAAGGTGAGTTAAAAGCCAGCCTCAGCAACTTAGTGAGGCTGTAAGCAATCTAGTGARATCCTGTCTCAAAAAATTAAAAAGGGGTGACGATGTGGCTTAGTGGTTAAGCACGCTTGGATTCAATCTCTGATACCAAAAAAAAAAAAAAAAAAGAAAAGAATCATATAATGAGATATTCATTTAGATGATACAGAATGTTAAGCTTTATTAAAGTTTACGGACTTAACATTAATTTTTTAGATCATCATCAAAATGAAAACATAGTTTAAAAATTTTTATAAAACACATAGGTTTCCATGACCGTAGAAGCTGGGAGAGTTTTTGAAAAATACTCTGATTCACATGATTGATTATTCACAGTACAAGTTACCTACATTTTTGTGAACTTCCTTGGAAACAAGGACCTCTGTATAAAAAGATTTCTCTAAGACCTACTAAATCCAAACTAATGAACTTGTTCAGCACAAAGATCTCAAAGGACTAACTACCAATAGTTTGCCCTATCCAAATAGTTTGGATAGTCAGTAATCTGACAATAAAAATATATTCTAAAATAATTTTCCCATAAAATCCTAAAATTTATAATACCTTTGTCATCTGTCAAAAACCAAGTTTTCTGTTTTACAGGATTTGATTTCCTAAAGGTGAGGCTACCCAGACTTTATGCCTTATCATCAGTAGCAGTGAATTGTTCTTTATAAACATGTCACCATGCAGTTGTTAGGAAAAGATTAAAGTGGAGATGATCTCATGAGGATAGACACCTGCTACACTGAACATGATAGTAATGGAAATGCATTGTTTGTACCTTGATTACATTATTAATATTTTCCACCAGTACAGCAAAACATTCCTCACCTAATTATCACAAATTTGCTCTCAATGGGGTCTGTTTAAATTGTACCATAGAGATTTTTGCTGGCCGGTAAGTTGAACCGTAGGGTTCTGGACATATCTCATGGACGTGTAGCCTGTTTTCCTAAAGCAAACGCAATGGCTTCTATCAGCCTGTCACTTTCCTGTGATTCAGTTTCTCCAGGGTGAAAGCTGCATGGCTCACTTCAAAAATCCTTGACATCTAGTGCCCAGAGCAAAGGTGCCTAACAGATATACAAGACATAACTATCAGTCCTCTTTCCCTACAGCTGTATTCATTGTCCTCATATTAAATGGATGGAATTCATGCTATTTGGTTCGTTAATCAGTGGCAAGTCATTCAGTATCAAAAACTAGATCATTGATAAGGCATTCTTTATCTGGTAGTTTCCTTCAAAGAAACTAAGAAGACTATATAGACATTATCTTTGAATCCTGTCAGGACATTCAGAATAAATGAGGGCCAGAGAAAGTGCACAGAAGGTCACATAGTGAGAAGGTGAATCCTAAACACGCTGTCACTTTAAAGACTGCATAGACAACTAGAAGAGGCTTTTTGAAAGAAACTTTTTTTTTCCAAAGAAAACATTGGGCTGGCTAATGTGCTGATTAAATTCCTACTGTGCATTCCCTTTTTAAATGTCAGAATCTATTTGCTCCTCTGATTGACATCAGTGCCCCAACTGTGGATGACTGTGGGATTTAGCAAGTCTGATATGAAAACACGTAGTGTCCTTATATTAGGGAAAACCTGCAGCTCTTGTGTCATAACTGTTGTATTGTCTTCCGAGAGCACAAATAGTCCCTCTAATCCATACTTTAGATCTTTGATCTCTTCCTAAACTAGAAATAATGATCATATTGATAAGCCAATGGTTCTTATAAACAAAAGAATATGGCTTTGAATTAAGGGTCAAAAGTAGAAATGATGAAGATGAGGTCAGGAGGGCAGAAATCTGCTGCTCTGAATGCAGAATTGCTCTGGGAAGCTGTACGCACATGCTTGGTTAAATTCTGGAACAATTCTACAAATTCAAATTATGTAGGTCACTAGAAGAGAAGTGTTGTGTCTTCTTGCACATTGAATTTTATAAGATCTAATTAACTCAATTATGACCCTCATGGGACAAGTTATTATTCGAATTCTCAACATCATTAAGAAAACCTATTTGCTATATGTACCTGATCCCCTGCTAGGTCTGTGCTAAATGGAGCAACTTCTTTGCATTTTGGAAAGCTAAAATTTCAGGATGGTGACTACACTGAAATAAACAGGCATCATAGTGTATCTAACACTAAACTATCATGGGATGCTTTAGTTACTTGATTAAACCCCAAAGGGTAAGGTTCAGTGGAAACTGGGGACCTATGTGAATGGTGGGGTGATATATAAGAAAATATAGAATATGCATGTTTAGATGGGTTGCAGTTGGTAGATATCTTTTCCACTTTTTGTACTGGGCACAAGGGAAATTCTTCAGGCTGAATCTCAGAGTTTCTTAATACACTATAATATTCCAATTTCCTTCCAAACTGTCATCCTGATTTCCCACAGTATAAATTTTAATTTAATCCAGTAAACATATGTGAACCTATTTTGAATGTTAGATCCTGCAGGGATAACAAAATTATATTGGACATATTCTCTACCATGACACACACCTTTAATAAAATGTAAAACATATCTGTATCGGGGGAAGAGAGTTTGATTCTGCCTAGAAGAACCTGTGAAAGCTTGTTAGAAAAGGTCATGTTTGAGCTGGATAATTAAAGAACAGTTGAGTGGCAAAAGATAGGCATATACTGACCCAAAATCCTGGGACCTGTTGGTACAAGTTGGTGGTACACATGGGGAAGGTGTTGAGGACAGATGTGTACCCAAAGTCAGTGTATTTCTTTGAAATCATGAAAAGAAAGACAGGTTGTTTGAAATTCAGTGAGTTCAATATTAGCAATAAAGGCACCTAACTAAATCCTAGATGCTTACATATATTYATAATTTTATCTGCAAATGCATCTTTTCATCATGCTCCTCTTTAATATTTGTATTATTTTTAATTAAACAAAAAGCAAAATGAAATTATAGACAATGGTTTCTCATGATATGGGAAGCCTCATTATTCAGAAACAAAACAGAACTCATTAGCTGATGGCAGCTGACCCTGTTTGTCTTTGCCACAATCAAAATACAGTGTGGCAGCCAAACTACAAAGTGTTAACAACCAATAAGATGATTAAAAAATATCTTTCTGGTGCTCTGCAAAATGGATGTGGAGAATTTTGCAGGCAGCCTTTTGTCAGCACTGACAGGATGGGCAATAAATGGAGGAAATGTAAAGATAGGAAAGAGATTGGAGATAAAGAAGCAGCAATCAATGGAGTCTTAACAGCAGTTATGGAGTGAGCTCTGAGCACCCAGCACCTGCCATATGCTGTGGTCAACACAGCTGGCTCCAACAGGGAGCTGGCTCCAGGCAGCTCAGGCCAGCCCTGAGACCAGATAGCATCACCAAATCAAATAGTACCAACATCCACTTCTGGACTAAAAATTCTGATCCTAGAACAAAATTTGAAAAGCCTCAGTGAACGATTTTAGGATTTGTCAGATCTTTAAGAAACACGTAACAGCAGCTTTCCATGACTCAATATGACTCTAACCTGTCCTCGTTGTGCTAATTATTTTTTCAAATTCCTGTACATAATTTAGTTACGTGTTGTTTTAGTCAGCTTTTTTTGGTGCTGTGACTAAAACACTCTGACAAGAACAATTAGAGGAAATAAAGTTTATTTGGGGTCACACGCTTTCAGAGGTCTCAATCCATAGATAGCCAGCTCCATTCTTTGGGGCTTTAGGTGAGGTTGATGTGGAGGAGAAAAGTAGCTGGGGATATGGTGCCAGGAAGCCAAGAGAGAGACTAAGCTCAGCTCATAAATATATACTCCCAAGTAATGCCCCTCAATGATCCATCTCCTCCAGCCACACCCTACCTGCCTACAGTCACCACCTGGTTAATCCCCATTAGGAGATTAATGAACAGATTGGGTTAAGGCTGTCAAACTTAATAATTTCACCTCTAAACCTATCTGTTGTCTCACACATGAGCTTTTGGGGGACTCTTAATGTCTAAACCATAACATGTATTCATTCCTCTTCTTTGGGTCATGATTTTTGTTGTCTGTTTCTTGTGAATTTATTCATCTTCTCACTACAAGCAGAAAAGGCAAAGACTTCGCTCTACACTTTTGTGAGGCTTTATATATCAAAGTCATTAAAAGCATGACTTTTGGAGGAGAATAGTCGTCTTTAAGCCCTGGCTCACCACTTACTCGCTATATAACCTAAGGACTAGATTTAGGGTAAGATGAGTAAGGCGCTCAATTTTGATGCCAAAATTTAAGGGATCACTAAAAGTATATTTTAAAAATAAATAATTAAAATTTTAACCTAGTTAATCAAGATAAATATTTTAATATAATATTTTTAAATGAAAATCAGGGAAAATTCATGCTGAATAAAATATCAAAAATTTTTAAAGTCACACTTATTTATTTTGAGATCTTGCTATATGTACATTGATCAAGGAATAGTATTTTCCCATCTACCTGTGGTATCTGGGTCTTCATGGCCATCATGTCCCCCAGTGACAGGTGTATAAGAGTTGACAGTGGTAGGATAACAGATTTAGTAATGCAGGACTTTATGATTGTCTTAATTTTTTTCCTCAACTATAACAGAAAACCCGAGATAGGTTAATTTATAAAGAACCAGAATTTATCCTCTCAGAGTTCTGAAGACTAGGATGTCTAAAAGTGCCATTGGTTAGGAACTGGTCTCTGTTTCCAAGATGGCACCTTGAATGGCTGCATTCTCCTGGAAAGAGGAACATTGCATCCTCACATGGCAGAAGAGTAGAAGACAGAGAACCTGCTCCCCCAAGCCCTTTTCTTTTTCCTCCTCCCCATCCTGCAGTGTTGGTGGTCAAACCRAAATGCTTTTGCCTGATAGGTAAGCTTTCTACTACTGAACTACACCCGCAGCCCACTGCAAGCCCTTGATGTAGCAACAATAACTCATTCGTGAGGACAGAGACCTCCTTACCTTTCATTAGGAGTCACCTCTTAACACTAGTGCATTGGGGATTAACTTTTGGTATGAGCATTCAAACCATAGCACTGACTCTCCAAAATGCCTCCATATAGCCAGACCTGGGCTGCATGTTCATGAAATCATAATTGATCACAGGTGAAACTAGAGAGCAGTGAGCTTGTATTATTTATGATCTATTAAGTGGCAGGACTAGAATAGGTGTATTCTGTGCATTAACAAGTGAAATCTGTATCGCCACCTAAACTGTAAAGATCTGCCAAGGGATAAACCCATAAATTTTTAGAAATATTTATTAATATTTTTTAAAGTGGACAAAATTTTCCTTGAAGAATGGAAAAAGAAAAGAAAAAAACAGGTAGATGTAAAGACTCCCTACTAGGAGCCCTACCAGCCTGTTTTCTGCAGACCAGGTTACCTGAGAACGGTTGAGGGACGCTGTGTGATGCCTAACACCAAAGGTGATTAAAGAAGGCCTCTTTCAATCAGCAAACCACCCCACTCCTATAATCTATAACTTATATAAAGGAGTCTGGTTTTCTGGAATTTTTTTTAATTTCTCCTTCTAGATAGAAAAGGTTGTTTTTTAAAATTATTTTCATGATTTAGATTTTCCTAATACGTGTTTCTTTGAAGCTTATTTGTCCCTGGTTCTAAGCATCCCTGCTTTGAAATGCTATGACTTAAGTAACCTATGTGTTATTTAATTCAGTTATATAACCTCAATTTATTCCAGGTTATTTAAAAAGTACAGATAAAATTAGGGAAAAGCTTTGCATGGTGCCTAGACACAGAAAGTACTAAATAAATTCAAGCTCAAACTAATGAGAACATAAAATTTTGGCAGTGGTCATAGCATAGTAGTATTATTTCTTTGTTCCCCAGCTTTATGCATTTCACTATTTGCCTCAGTATTTTTTTCCACTCCTCCTCCTATTTGCTATGTGAAGGTGGCCACTCACATGCAGGTTCTTGCCATGGTCCCTTTATATCTAAAAATTTTAGAATCTCTCAGGATTTCCTTATGTTGTAGGTTACAGAATGCTCTTTGCAACTGAACTCCATCTTTTCCAGTGACGGAACAAATTCTTTCTCTGCAACAGTCAGCTTCCCAGGGGGGGGAAAAAAAAACAATAGGAAACAAAACCTTTGGATATGTTGGGTTTTATTTACTTTTCATATCTTCTCTATAAATTAAATCACTGGAATGTAATAAACACCCTACATAATAAAGGCAAAAGTAGTTTCTCTCACYGGTCTCCAACCTCAGCCTGTCACAACCCTTCTTCCTCCAACAGAGTGACAGACAGAAGTGTTTCAAATGACAAGTCATATATTAAATAACCAAGAACATTTTAAACTAAAATCCTTACAAAACTGGTCCTATGCATAGATAGGTTGTAAAAACGTGTCTCAAGCTGAAGGCCTGCAGAGGGAGCCGGCTTCCTTAACTATTGGCTCCAGATCAGTCATGCTGAAGGAAATACCTTTGTTCTCCTTTGTTGGCAGGGCTACACTCTTGCTCCTTTTGATCTTCTGGTGGCTTTCTTCATTAGAAAGACAGCGGGGCACTGTCTTGTAGGATCTTCTTTATGTAGATCCAAAGGTATGCGCATTTGCTTTAGGGGTGAGCTTTAGCAGGGTGTGAGTCTTTGCAGGCAATGCAAGGTTGATAAAAACCCTAGCCAAATTCAGCTAAAGAACTGTCTTATATAAGAGGTTCTACTAGATATATTCTGGACCCACATAAAAACTAAGATGTCTGCCCATTCTTTAATTTACTCATTCATTTGGCTTATATTATTTCTACTCTAAATCAATCTCTCTCTCTCTCTCTCTCTCTCTCTCTCTCTCTCCTCTCTCCTTTTTTAAAAATCTGAAACAGGGCCTCTTTTGCTCAGGTGACCCTCCTGCCTCAGACTTACAAGTAGCTGGAACTACAGGCACAGACCACCACACCCAGTTTCTATATCATTTTTAAACTAGAGGTTCCAAGCCAGAGATCTTTGCAGCATTTCCCCATCAAATGCATTCCTGTTGACCTTTCTCCATTTTTCCTCCTTGCATTTCCCCTGTTAACTAGGATTCATGTGTTGTTTAGAGTTAGGCCACTGGTTCTCAGCCTGAACTCCCCTGAGCATCCTAAAAATATGCCCCAACCTGAGACCATGCAGATTGAATTAGAATCTCTAGAGGAGGAGCTTGTGCTTCAGAGATTTCAAAGCTGCTTGAGGAGGCTGAATTACACTAATGAGGTCTGAGCACTTAACCCTTCCTCTCTCCTTGTTCCCCTCAAGAGACAGGACAGTTAGTAGGCCTATTTACTGACATTGGCCAAACCTGTGATTCCCCTGGAAGTTTGTTCAAAGACATTCTGTGTAGGGAAACGGTAATGGGAGTTTTTCTGCACAGATCAAAGACAGGATATGGAATAGAGGAATCAAGTACTCCAAAAAGACTCTGACCTCTCCTATCTATATAGCYGCTCTTCCTGTATCCTCTTCAAAGCTAGCACAAGTAGAGAAATAGGGCAACTGGACTAGGACCATGACTGGGATGAGGAAAATAAGTGAAGAGTGGCTAGAAAATGAATTTAAGGAGGGTACCCCTCACTGGTCCTGGCCTCAGGGTCTTGCAAGTGAATGCCTCCTTAATTCTGTGCTTTTGTTTTTTCTCTTTTCCTGGTTCTAAGTTAAATGATACCTTTCCTAAAGGAACTTTGGAAAGAGAGGGTGATTGTAATCACCCAATTCATGTTTGACTTAATAAACAAAACTGATAGAGTCATCACAGCACATTTTTGCATTAATATTTCCAAGATTCATAAATGAGAATTASAATCTGTTATGAGCTCCCTCTTTTCACCTCCTCAAATCTTACTCCAGATGTGCAGTTTATGGAAGGTTGTGAAGGGAAAGTTCTCACTAGAAAAGCACTCTCAATTCATGTTAGGAGAGGGCGACAGTAGTTTCAATTGAAAGTTAAGTGTAATAGTATTTTCTCTTATAACCTACTAAATACCTGACATTTTTAATTCTTCATTTTTCCTATCTATTTTACAGCAAATAAATTAATTAATGCTTGTGAAACCCCTAATTTGGAGCCAACACAATAACTGGTAACCATTTTTCTCACCAGGAAGATAATGGAGCTCAGGAAACTCTCATCCAAGATCACCACATCAGCAGTTCCACATCTTTTAAAGACAGAGTGAAGCTCTGTGCTGACCACAGACTCTGCCTCTCCCCGGTCCAAATCCATGACGAAGGTCGGAAGTTCTCTTGCCAAGTTCGACTCAGGCCTGGCAAAATCTTGAGGAGTTCCACCACAGTCAAGGTTTTTGGTAAGGGTTTGTGCTGYCTGGACTACTCCCTGCCACCCTGCATCACTCTTCCCCTAAATAGGAAGTTCCCTCTTATGTTGGATTGCAGCCATTCCAGGGGTGACCTCTGAAGCTCTGTTTGCCTTGATCTTTACCATTCTTGCTGGGGGTGGGAACAAGGGTAGAAGGCTAAAAAATAAGTATTCAGTTAATAGAATAAAATACAGAAAACCATATATGGGTCAGTTTTCTGCTGATTTAACATCTTAATGTTTCCYAAGGATACTGGACATCTCTAATTGCTTAGTTATCTAATTATCTCAGTTGCTTGCTGCAGATAAGGCCACCATGAGAAAAAGAAGGTACTAAACAAAGCTCTGGACAAAATTAGCAGGAGCATTCCCCACCCCATCCTGCCAGGGTCAGTGCTTCCAGTAAATGATCCTTCAGGCTTAGCCCTCTGACCCTGAGTTCTTAGGAGAAGACAGTTGAGCTATGAAATCTACTGTGGCCTCACTCAAAATGCAGAGACTCTGCAGGGTGCAGTTTTAACAGAAAAATGTGAACATTCTAATTTGTCCTGTGGTGAAAGGAAATATTAAAAAACAGAGGCACTTGGCTCTATATATTTTTTCAGTTTTGYAATCAAGACCTGTGATTTTTTTAAAAAATATTTTTAGTTATCAATGAACCTTTATTTATTTATTTATCTATCTATTTATTTATTTATTTATGGTGGTGCTGAGAATCAAACCCAGTGCCTCACATAGGCTAGGCAAGCGCTCTACCATTGAGCCATAACCCCAGCACAAAACCTGTGTTTGTTTAAAAAGTCATTCTTAAAGAAAGACAGCAAGAAAAGCAGTGATGTGGATGGACAATTAGTTGTTTTCAAACATGAAGTAAACAAAGAGAAAATGAGTTTATAAAACCAAAGGACATTGACTGTTAGACTATTGCTCAGCTCTCTGCATACACTTGTTTTTATTTAGAATCGTACCGTATTATTATGGGATATCAAAAAGAAAAGAGCATTTTTGAACAAAGCACAAAACAGTCTGCAAAGACGGGAGTAGYAGCAGCCAAGACTTATTTAGTTTGATTAAATTCCTGGCTTAAAGAATTTCCCTCTCTTTCCTCCTGCCGCTCCCTTCCCTCTCTCTCCAGGTTTCCACCTGGGTGGGCTAGGCAGCTACCACCTCATGATCAGCCTCCTTAAGAAGCCTAAGCAGTGCCCAGGGAAGAGTTGGAAACAAACTGCTCATCTCTCTTATCTATCCTTCTCACTATTTGTTCACATACCAGGGTGTGACTGCTTTAGCACAAACAAGAAACAGCCTCATCTGGCCTGACTGTTGGCAAGACAATGAAGGCAGCCTTCCAGGATGTGACAAGAACACCAATTTTTAAGTTAGGCAAGCTGTGTCCCCATTTAACAAATTTTTTTTTTGTACCGTAACATATTCTAATTACCTTGTCAACATTTAAACCGTGTACTATATCTCTTTGTTGCGTTAAAATACTTTCATGTTGGTCTTGAATAGTTTCATTCCTTAACATCTTACTCTATCACCCTATCTGGTTCCACTTTTTCTGTCTCTACTTTTCTCTTGCTTCTTCTTTGAACTGCTGTCAGGAGATGCTTAGAAATATGAGCATCTTTCCTGCTTAATGGATTTCCATTTAGTAAGTGGGCTGGCTAGGSTGTGTAAGGACAGTCTTATCTAGCCTTTGATCTATTTGTGGGTATCCCTTGCATATGTATTATAGTAATCCAAGCCCAGAGTTATATCATAAATCTTACTGAAAACCTACTTTCCATCCTTTGGTGATTCCCCATATTGAATAAGCTAAACACAAAACATGAAAACCTTGAAATAAATACTTAATGTATCGCCACCAGTTCATCATGCCCTAAATTACTCATTTCTTCTTCCCAAATGGTGCCTCATCTTCCAACTTTGCATTCTCAATAGACCAAAGGCCAGAAGCTGGCCAACTCCTTTCCTTCCYCCTTTGCTTGATGTCCCTTGGCCGGGAGTCACTTTCCATCATCACAAGTTGGCTCTTCCCCACTTCTTAGCTGAAAACTTCATTTCCTGCACCTCAGAGAGAATCCCCTGCATCTTTTAGTAATTGTTCTTTTTCAGACCATTCATTCTACATGTTTTTTCTCTGCTGGCAAGAGGTCAGAAATATCTTCCCTTCCAAGAGTGTTTAAGGGTGTGTCTTGGTGTGGGTTCCCATGAAAGAAAACATGGAGACAGGATTTGAAATAAATTAATTTATTTGAGAGGTCATGTTGGGAAATAGGAGGCATAGGGAAGTGAGTCTAGGAAGGAAAGTAAAATAATAAAATGTGCATGATGCATGATTCAGCCAGTTACCATTGTGGATTTAGAGGCCAGTCTCACTGGGAACTCTGGGCAATAGCATGAACACAATGATTATCTCAAATGAGAGAAAGAAAGTTGAGGTATTTATCCACCAACTTCCCATCTGCTATCACCATTAACTCCTTCCTTCCAATTTTCCCTTTTGTTGTACTGAGTGTGCTCTTTCAATCCCAATGAATCCTTAGGCAGAGAGTCATAGGTGTGACCAGCAAGAGCCAAGTGTGTGCAGGTAAAAGCCAAGCCCATAGCATCTGGGGTAGCAGGTCTTAGGATCTTAGGTTCACAGAAAGCTCTGTCTGCTAGACTGAAGAACTTACTTGAAGTCACTTCAGTTAAACCTGATGTTAAAAAAGTGTCTACTCTGTGCTGGGTGCAAAGTACTGGAGATGAAGAGACAGATAAAATGCTCTGGCTTTGAGGCACTTACAACCTAGCAGGACAGAAGAATCACTAACTATTGTCAGATATGTCCTAGTGCCAAGCAACAAAACAAGTATCAAGTGCTTTTCTKGCTCCCTTCTTGGTCCTGAAAATGATACTCTACCCTTTACCCCTTGGCCTTTGGACTTGTAGAATTCTTCTCTCTCCCCCACTGGCTACACTTCCACTCCTGCACACTCCCAGTCTCACGTGATCCAACACTGATCATCACTCAAGTATCAGTTACATGGTGCATCTTCCAAAAGACTCTTAACCACCAAGGCTGGGTTCGAAGCTTTTCTTAGGARCTGGGGATATAACTCAGTTGGTAGAATGCTTGCCTCACATTCATGAAGCCCTGGATTCAATCCCCAGCAAAAAAAAAAAAAAAAAAGAAGAAGAAGCTTTTCTTAAAAGTTTTCTTCAAGTTCTAATGTTCTCAATCATTGCACTTATCTCAGTGCATTCTAATTTCTATATTTTTCATAAAAATGTAAATAATGTGTCTGTTTCCTAGACACTAGTATCTTGCCAGGCACACAGTAGGTGTTTAATAATTGTTTCATGGATGACAAATCTTTCTCACAATACACACGGACACACACTGGTGGCCAGGTAGGATTTCATTCAGTGCCGCTAACTGTATTTTATTTGCTTTTAAGCTAAGCCAGAAATCCCCATGATTATGGAAAACAGCACCATGAATGTCCTGGGAGAGGTGAGTGACATTAAAGCCTTTGAAAATCTATAGTATTACATGCCAAGGTGTTTGGGTTGCACAGCTGCCAGGAACGTTCCCTCAGAGGACCTTACTCCTGGGCCCTTAGCCAAGTAACTGCTGCTGGGCACAAAGGGAAGCTGAGCTGATTCTGCAAACTGAATGGGGATCCTTACTTTGAGTTGGGGCTCTCAGAAGGTGTGACCTCTTTTCCTTAGTCCTTAAATTTCCTGGAAAATTGTCCCAATTGTTTAAACTTCTCCTTAATAAAAATTGAGGGAGGGATGGAGATATCGCTCAGTTGGTAGAGCACTTACCTTGCATGCACAAGCCCTGGGTTCAATCCCCAGCACCAAAGAGAGGGGGTGGGGAGCAGTGTGAACCCTGGTTTAAGAGTGAGAATTTCACTCAGCTGACATTTAATTTGTTGCAATCCATTTTTCTGTACCAGCTTTCCCACTGCATTCATTTCAGTCATAAGAAGAAATGTGCCTCCTGTACCTCCTCCAAATCATAGCTACTTCTTTAGAAATAAGAAGGGCAGGAGAAAAAGGAAAGACTGGGTAGCTCCCAGTCTCCAGTCACTGGGATCTGGACCCACTTCCCAGCTATTGGTTGTATCCTTGAGCAAATTAATTCACATCTTTTAGTCAGTTTCATCATTCATATTAAGTAACTCATAATGGTATCTGCTCACTATTATTTTTTAAGAACATCATAAAATTAAAATATAAAATTAATGTGAAAAATTCATAGTATAATTTGTGTCATATAATAAACGTTCAGTAAAAAATTGTTGTTTTTATTGTTATTAGTAATATCTGCTTTAAGTAGCTGTCTTGTGACCTTATGATTTCAACCATGCTTTTCAAAWCCTCAGGTAAAATAAGTGCTCTTATTAATTCTCAAACATCTGCTGTTACATGGTGTGAGAGAAAATTCTACTGATAGTCTAATTTCTTCTCACCCTGAGAACATTAAATAACATGATTTGTGGTCCTGCTGAATATCAGTCATTTAATTTGACAGCTACATACAAATCATAACTGACTTTGTAGGATGTTTTTGGATGACCATACATAATGTATGACCTAAGTATCTAAGTCTCTCGCCAATTTCATGTATTAACCTCTGAAATAACTTCTTCTGTAWTCCTGAGTATATTGAAAAGGGTTTAATCATTTTCTGCTTTAATTAATTCCCAAATTTAWTAGTGGACTTCATTTCAATAGTTTAAATACAGCAAATAATCTAATGATTACAGATTTTGGTAGGTATCTTTCTTACAAGGATCTGTTATAGATTCTTGGTGTCAATGTTTACAAGTAATATAAGCTCAAGATATAAAACCATAAATTGAATCCAAGAATCCATTATAAAAAAATGACTATGGCTTACAGGCCACATGTTATAAAATTTCCTCTTCTATACCATTGCTTCACTTAAATCTAGGAAAACTAGAGAAATTTCTTTCCTGAGGAATTAGTGAATAATCTCTCTCCAACTCCGTATAACCAGCTGCAGGACATGGCTTGTCTGTGGCTCTTTTAAGGTCTTGCCAAACATTAGTAATTCCTCACGCTAATATTCTTATAATCACTGCTGTGTCCTTAATAAYTTATTAACTCTTTAAAGCCCTTTCACATACTTTTATCTCATGATGCTTTCCATGTGCTCTGATATAGGTTGAGCATCTATCATTTCACAGATGAGAAATTAGCGCCTGGAAAGCCTAACATCTAGTTAAGTCATTCATAAGGGGCAGAGCTATCCACATCTAGGGAGGCTGATAAGAGGAGATCATGTGGTCAAATAGCACTAAGGTCAAGTCCTAATTCAATCACCTACTAGATAACCTCCATGAGCCTCAGCTTACTAATCTCTAAATTGAAATAATAAGAAATACTTCATAGGGTTCTTAGTATAATTAAACTCATGCACAGTTCTGGAGTACATGGCACATAGATGTCTCAGGAATATGTTTTGCCTATTATCATTCACCCACACTTTCACCAATTCCTTCCTCTGCATTTGTAAATATTGATTCATAAATCCATTATGTGACTGAATGTAGGATATGGTGTGGGATGATAATAATAATAATGAAACAGAACATAGATTGTGGGATCTGTAGAACTAAGCCTGAATTCTCTTTTATCACTTATTAACTTGGGTCCCTGGGACCTGGGTTCCTTAGCTTCCTCATCAGTGAATGGGGCAATGAGTCCAACCTCACAAGGGTGATAGAAGGATCAAATGAAAGAACGTATGCAAAGCATCTACATCTGGAGAGCACAAGTATTCAGTATTAGTAATCTCCTAACCCTTACATTCTCTGGAAATTAATCACATCCACACRCATGAAGATGTGTAGTCTGTCCTACATCTTCATTGCTCAAGCAACATTTGTGCACAGTGGAGACTTAAAAGTATGCTGTCATCCTGCTATCAGTCAAAAGGACAAGGGGTGAATCTAGGAAACTTCAGGGTCATTTTGGACCATGCTGACCAGTTTCAGACTAGGCTGGGGACTTGATCAATTGTAAGCTGAGTTCCAATAGTTTTAGTTAAACTTATAAAGTTTATGAATAATTTAATTTTTCTTTTAAAATAAATAAGACACAAAATTAGCCTAACAAAGACACTTTCTCAGACAGGGACATGCCAGCAACATCCCAGAAAAGTGTCACACCTGAGGACAGGTTGTCCTGGTGCATTCCTGAGGCCACTCTCTCACCAGGACTCCCACACAACACACAGCTATGCTCCTGCAGCTGCAATGAGAAGGGAATCTCTTATCCAAACCTCAGCCCCTGCAAACCCCATGTAACAGATTTTTGCATTAGAGCAAAAGATGCTGGGCCAAAGAGCCCCACAGCACACAGCTGCTGATGGAGCATAAGAAGACACAAGAGAGACACATAAAACCCCACTTTATTTAACAGTTCAGGCTTTCCAAAACCACAATGCACCTCTTGCTTTATGCTCTAATCCAATCATCTCTCTAGGTCCTGTCCTTGTCAATCCCTACATTTATTTTGCTTGACAAAATTTAGGGGAAAACATCTAAAAGAAAGCTATCTAGCATGAAACATAGGAAACAAAAACAGTCTGAAGTTATGTTGCCTAAAGAGGAAATGAATCTACAATAATAAGAACCATGAAAAACAGACGCTGTTGCAGGGCTGGGCCTGTCAAAGCTGAGGCAGCCACAGGGATCCTTTCTCACTAGTTCTTGTGATCATGCCAGGAAGATTTCAGACATGTCATTCAGAGTAACAGACATGAGTTTATCAGAAGGGATAAGAAAAGGGAAAAGAGGACTCTCTCAAAGAAGAGAGTGGCTCTTCTCAGAGAGAAGAAAGACACACTCCTCTTGCCTTCCCGTCTTTTTGGGTCCTCGGGAAGTTTCCTAGATTYACCCCTTGTCCTTTTGACTGATAGCAGGATGACAGCACACTTTTAAGTCTACACTGTGCACAATTAAGGTCCAAGGCAACTCAAGGTCACTTTGGACCATGCTGACCAGTTCTAATTATCATATCTYCCTGAGTTTTGGGATCTGTTCTGTGTAAGGGTCATAAAAGCGCCACCCACCCCCCCATACACACACATCCAGGGTAACTTATGTTCTTCTTATCAGCATTTTAAGGGTTGCATTCCTCCTGCAGATGACAGGTTGTTTGCTGAGGAATATAACAGAGCCCATTGACCTAAGCTGGGTAGGGCTTCAGGTAAATTGCTTTTGTAGGGGTCAACACAATGCACCCAGTATATAGTATCCCCTTAACCTCATGCCACTTGCCTATCAACACCACAAATTTAAAAACTGTGCCGTGGTTAGAAGAAGACATTAACACGACTAGCTAGCATTTTGTGTTTGTTTGGTTTTGCAAAGCTTGAACCTCTGTAGATTCCTTGATTTTCTTAAATCTCATTCCAAATGTATGATTTTGGATTTTGTTTTTAAGAGGTTAAATATGACAGCCTCTTTTTGTTGGGCATATTTTGTGGCACTAAAAATGCTCTGACTTCAAATGTCAGGGTCATGACTCCCAGAAGCCATCACCATTTGCCTTGGTGAGCACCTAAACTTTGAGCACAGAAGAGGAGGGCCTTAAAGGGGGCACTGTGCCCTCGTGGGGAAAGCACAGGGGAAGTGAAATCCTTAATCACAGCAGTTTTCTAGAAAGGGAATTATAGGACTGCAGTATAGCCTGGGTTTTTCTCAAGGCTGGTGTTTGGACTTCTGTTTGTTCCACAAAGAGCTCACAGGGGAGACAGGTCTCACTGCTAGACTTCCAACAAGTCTAGAAAGCAGGAAGAGTGAGCCTTGTAGGTGAGGACTGCAGGAGGAACAGCCCATTTTTATACCAGCATCTCAGTAACTTTCAAGGAGTTTGGTGCCCATTAGATACTTGGTGTATCAGTGAGATAGTGGGACCCTGTCTTCATCTCGTCTTGTCTTGTCTGGTTCTCTCAGTCTCCACTCCCACACATTTATTTATTTTTTTTTTTAAAGAGAGAGTGAGAGAGGGGAGAGAGAGAGAGAGAGAGAGAGAGAGAGAGAGAGAGAGAGAGAATTTTAATATTTATGTTCTAGTTCTCGGCGGACACAACATCTTTGTTKGTATGTGGTGCTGAGGATSGAACCCAGGTCGCACGCATGCCAGGCGAGCGCGCTACCACTTGAGCCACATCCCCAGCCCAACTCCCACACATTTAAAAGAAAAAGTGCTAGAGGAATTTTCCAAAACAAAAGTCAACTCCAGCGCAAAGCTCRGAGTGGTCTCCAGTTTGATTTTATTCAGTTAACATTTAATATCCTTAAGAATGCAGGAGATTTTTTTCTCCCTATGGACTGTCAGGCTCCCTTTTTAAAAAGTATCTCTGAACATTCAAAGATGGATAGTCATTTTAAAAATCAGAGAACAATAGATTGCCCTGTAGTTGGTATTTCAGAGATACAAATAAAATCTAAAACCTACTTATTGAATGAA